TAATCAGCCTGTCCGATATAGCGGCTGCCACTTTTTCTACAATTCTAAAATAAGAACAGAAAACATCAAATGTGTCTTAATTCACTCAAAACTGCCCCCCAAGGGACAATATTTTTTTTTATTAGAAATCACGCATTAACCAATATTCGTTCCTCCCACCCCCAAAAAAAAAAAATAATAAAATAAAAAATATATATATATATATACACTAGAGAGAGCAGTGGAACATTAAAGGATGTTTTCGAGGAATGTTTCCAATTGATTACTGTGGAACAGTCAGCTAAGATGTGAGTGATTTGATAGAGTGTTTATGCTCTGCCATTGCCAGCAGATTTGAAAGCAAGAAAAGGTTCTCAGGAGCATGGATTAATTTTTATTTTAACCTGGTGCCGCATGCATGATAATCAGATTTTACTGAAATGGTTTATGGTGAGTGTGATGAATAATAGAAAAGACAGTTTCAGGTGTATAGATAGCACTTTTCAAAGTAGATATATAGACATGGAAAGAAAGAGAGTCCACGTAAGAATCTCAAATGTAGTCCTTTGAAAAATTCAAAGTCAACATGATTTGAAGATCTAATATGGTCTATAATAGCTGGAAGGAGTCAACCCTTTGCATTCCCATTCACCATTAATGTCAGTTAGCTTAGCCATTAGGATGTGCAGGAATGATTCAGTCAGAATATTTTTCAATGGTTAATAATACAAGCATTTTATTTAAAAAATTAATAATTTTATTCAGAATGTATACAACAAATTGATCAAAACTGACTGAAAAAAAATACATTTCTAAATAAATAAATGCTGTTCTTTTGACGTTTCTATTTATCAAAGAATCTTGGATAGCACTTTATTTTACGGTCCTGTTCCGCATTTACATACTATGTACTTATTATAGAAATTACAATAAATTGGTAATAACTATGTACTAACCCTGAAGGTACCCCTAAACCTAACATTAACCAATGCAGGTACCTTATACTACAGTACTTTCTTGGAAAGTACACTGTAAGTACACATACTGTAAATGTTTATTGAGCAGCAACTCAGCATAATGATTTATCATTTATCAAAATCCATCTACACTGTATTGCATAGATAATGTTATGACATTAATGTTTTAAGTATTACATTTTGACTATAGAAATATGAAATGTTGGGGAAAAATGAAATGGACCTTTTTCACATTTCTGGATTTCTCAGCAGCGGAAGTCGTCGTAGTTAGGTAAACATTAACACTGAATCATTAACATTTTAAAATATATTCAAATAGCTTAAAATGTCCCTTTAAGCTACCATGCTTTGACCAAACATAAATAATTAAATTATTAAAGCACAAGGGCTTATGGATATCTCCCTCCCCACTCCCCCCAGCCTTGATTTCGTACTTGATCCATCGGAGTTAGCACACAAAATATGAATCATACAGATGTTGAAGTCAACAATTAAAGGAACATACATATTTGAGCTATGATTATTATGAGCTATGAAATTTATTTTGATTGTTTTTATTAATTACAGTAAAAACTGGCTTTTTGATTAACGCAGTCATTGTCTAAGGACTTGCAGGGGTTTCTGGAGTAGAAGTGAGAATGTGTTTGAGTCATCAGTCGTTGGGAAAGAGGGGTGAGGAGCTGTTGTCTGGCAAGAGAGCAGGGATGTTTTTGCTAGTGAGGCAATCAGTGGACAGGTACACATTCCACTTACATGACCTTGTGAGAAGCGAGGCCTCGGTGAGATCTGTTTTGAAGCCCCTGGCTGATTCCCTCAGCTTTACCAAAACGTGTGAGCGCACAGCAAGGAAGCGCTTTGAGCCGGGGATACTGTAAAAACCTTGTCTGTCAGAGAGATAACAAGATAGTTCTGGCGTAGTACTAATTGGCCATTGTGTTCCTATATGCAAAGCATATTTATCACTTCTGGCAGGACTTGAGAGCATTTCCTTTTTTTTCCCACTTGAACACTTTTGCCCTTTGCAAACTGTGACTTTTATCAGCACATTTGAAGATTCAAAATGAGATAATAAGTTTTGGAAATATGAGGAAATGTTGGCCGCTGTTTCTTTGGGGTGGGATGTTAAGACTCTTTAACAAGTGCACAGTGGTTAGACTAAATCAGAACCGTGACACACACACTCATTACAGATAAAGGGGTCCTCGGGGGGCCTTGTCTCCGCTGCTAGACCCCCCACAGGCAAAAATTTTGTATTTGGCCCAACAATATTTCCAATGTGTTTTGCTGTTTTGCTTAACAGTATATTACTTAATTACAGTAGACAAATATGTTTCTGCCAAACTATGTTTCTTTCTTTTGGCTCATACACTGGATGTGCAGCATGTTTTTGATTCACTAAAATGAACCAGGTCCTAAGAATAATTTGTTCAGGAATAAGACTACACTGGTTTCACTGCATGTTTTGAACCTCCAAAGAAAGTTCAAAAGACCCATTGATTTGGGAATCAAATTAAACTGTCACTCTATATTCTTCTTCTTATTATTATTATTATTATTATTATTATTATTATTATGTATTTATTTTTTAAACAAGTGGATGGTTAGTGTCATTCATTCAGGAATTAGACTACACTGGTTTTGCTGCATGTTTTAGAACCACCAAGAAGAAAAGGTTCAAATGATCCATTCATTTGGGAATCAGACTACACTGTCACTCATTTCTTTTTCTTTTTTTTTTCACTAATAAACAACTGTATTCTAAGTGTCATTAATTTGGAAATCACATTACACTGGTTACACTGCAGGTTTTTGAATCACTAAAAAGACTCAGCTCATAAGATTCATTCATAACATTCATTCAATAAGACCACACTAGTCACACATATTACTGATTCACTATAAAGATTAGATAAGAGTAATCCAGTTAGAAATCGGACTATGCTGTCATGCTGTATAGTTCTGACTCACTAAAGAGAACCTGGTCCTAAGAATCATTCATTTGGGAGTCAGAAAACACTGGTTCTGCTGCATGTTTTTGAATCACCAAGAAGAAAACTTTCAAAAGATCCATTCACTTGGGAATTGGAGTACACTACCACTCTGTATGTATGTATGTATGTATGTATTCATTCACTCACTAAAAATAAACATATCCTAAGTTTCATTCATTTATGAATCAGACTATACTGCTTGTGCTGCATGTTTTTGAATCACTAAAAAAGATTTAGCTCATACGAGTCATTCATTTGGGAATCAGACCGCACTGTCACCCTGTGTATTTTATTCACTAAAAAGAACTTGGTCTTAAGAGCCATTTGTTCAGGAATAAGAACACAATGTTTGCATGTTTCTGAATCACCAAAAAGATGTTCAAAATATTAATTCATTCAGGAATCAGACCACACTGGTCACACTTTGTGTGATAGATTAACCAAAAAAGATTGAGCTCATACATTGTCAAGTTGTATGTTTTTGATTCACTAAAAAGAACAGGCTCATAAATGTCATGCTTTTAGGAAACAAACGACACTGGTTGCACTACATACTTTTGAGTCACCAAGAAGAAAATGTTCAAATGATTAATTCATTCAGCAATCGGACCACAGTGTTTACACTGGATTGATTCACTAAAAAGAATAGACAGAACAATGCAAGTTCAAGGAATGTTAACCAAAATTCATGAACATCATTCAGTATTTTTTAAAGATGCAACCAGCTCCACTAATATATGAAGAGTTCAGATGCAAAAGCCTCTAAGTGCCGTCTGAAATTGTTATCTAAAATGAGAATTTTTATCAGGCTCCTATATTTATGTTCTTTTTTTTTTTTTTACTTTAATGGCATAGAAAAGGACCCATTGCCATTTAAGTAAAATTACTGAACCTAAACATAGGAGCCTGATAAAAATGCAAATTTTAGAAGAAAATATCAGATGGCACTTAAAGGCTTTTGCATCTGAACTCTTCATATAGACTTCAATGTAAAATAACATTTACATCAGCTTTCAAACCAAAGGCACAAAAGCTTTAACATAAAAAGTTAAATAATACTTGGTAAATGTTGCCTAAATCAAAACCCGTAGAGCGTTTCCAAAAGTAGATAATTAAATATGATTCACAAAATCATGCTAGTGTGACCAGTCTCAGCCTGGAGCATGACGATGACAATGCCATCTCAGTAAGAATTTCAACTCAAAAAAGACTGAGACTATCTTCTAAATGACAAGCAAGAGCTATTTCACACTGAACCACCTAAGACTTCTAACAATGGCTTATCCAGCAATTCTCATTGGGTAAAATCTAATTAAACATGCTTCAAAGAACAGAAGCCTGACTACCATGAAGCCAGCAGTGCATGTTGAATTGAATCACACTATTAGAGCACATGCTAGCTCTTATCAAAAAGTCAGAAAGGTCATAATATGTCATGGTTTTCAAGTGGAGATATGAAAAGAGGCTAATTTGGAGGACCCATGCATAGCCAGGGTCATATTTGATAAATGTGCTTGTCTTGATTATTTTCATATATGAGTATTGCAAAATACCTTTATTAGAGGAATACATGTGCACTGACATTTGAAGGCTCAAAAGCTGAAGCAACCTGACAGTGCGTCACCTGTGTGCCTAAGTAGACACATCTAAATACGTATTTTCACTTGACTTGTCTCTGTTTAACCAAGCATGCTGACCCTCACTGCTCTCCTCTATTTGTGCTGACAGCCATGGACTCTGCTTCTGCAAAAGGGAATCTGTGTTCTGACACAGGCAAGCCCTGCAATCCTTGCCTGGATGCAGCAAAGGCCTGCAACCTCAACGACACCTGCAAGAAACAACGTACTGCACTCATGGCCACCTGCAGCTCTGCAACTCCCATTCAGCAAGTGCACGAACCCTGCAACCGAAAACGCTGTCACAGGGGTCTGCGGCAGTTCTTTGACCGCGTGCAAACAGAATTCAGCTACCCATTGCTCTTCTGCTCCTGTCGGGATAAAGCGTGTGCCGAACGTCGCCGGCAAACCATCATGCCTGCGTGTTCTTATGAGGAGAAGACAAAACCCAACTGCCTTGAGTTAAGGAGGACCTGCCGTTCAGATCCACTCTGCAGGTAAGGTTATTTCGTCTGGGTCACGGCACCAGAAATACAACAAATAGGCTGACTTTTTTGTAGGGCTGCAGCTAACAACTATTTCAATAACCGATTAAATGTGCTTGCTCTATTAAATATTTGATGTTCTAACAATGACAGTGAAATTTAACCACTCACTTGACCTGAGTTATTCAAAAATTCCAAATCAATTAATACCTACAATGACTTGAATATACCTCTTTTATGTTGTTGTTGTTTTTTTACTTCTAAATTTAAAATAATTTTGATATTTTTAGGCCATTAAGTCAAATGTCAGAATGATGCAACTATCCTGATATCATAATTAAGGGGGTGAAAAAGTATCATTAAAAATTAAATTACTTGAATTTACCTTTTTTTATATATATTTTTAGGCTGGGGTTAAGTTAACCCTAACTGTCCTGATATCACTTATTAACCCTCTAAGCGCCAAAGTCGCAAAATTGCGACAAGACATGATACTTAATCAAATAGACTGTAGTTCCTAATACGGTGTAATATCTCATTTGTATTCCCTACCACTAGATGGCAGACATGTAGTACTTCGATTCTAGACCAAAATTATGTCACCTTTCTATTCAAAGTGTTTGAGGAAAGAGCAGAGCAAGTGAGCTTTCGTGTCATTGATGCGGAAGCAGTTCAGTTCATAGCGTGCGGGTAAGCTGTGAGATTTGTGAGAGAAAATCGCCAAATGGCTAATAAAAAGTTGTACAGTGAGGATGTTTTGCAAATGTTATTCGCCGATTCTGACTCTGAAGGCCTGGCGCCTTAAGTATCAATCAATCAATCAATCAATAAACACTTGAATTTACATTTATTTATTTATTTATTATTTTTCCTGATTTAAAATGAATTTTGGTATTTTTTTGGGGCCATTACGTAAAATATGGCATGATAATATAACTGTCTTGATATATCATAATTAAGAAAAATTGTATCATTAAAACATTTAAATTACTGAAAAAAATATATTTTCTAAATTCTTAGAAAAATTTATA